AAACGTGAGAATTCAAAAGGAGGGATCAGGGCCAGTATTCATTAAAAGTCTTAGTATATTCCTAATTTTATAACATCAATCAAGTTATATATTTTATACTTCAGTTCCCTAGGTTTATCCTAAGCTTTATAATTTTTGCAAAATCTTATGCGTGAAAAGTAAGAAATAAATTAATAATGGAAATTTTCATTGGAAAGCTTGAGATAAAAGATATCACAGAGTCTGACACATCTGTTTCATATTTGGATATATTACTCGAAAAAGACGTAAATGGTAATCTAACAACCACGCTATATGATAAACGTGATGACTTTAACTTTTCTATCGTCATCTTCCATTATTTATGCAGCGAAATACCTTCATCACCTGCATACGGAGTTTATATATCTTAGTTGATTCGATACGCAAGAGCATGCTCTACGCTTGAACAATTTCTTAAACGAGGTAAATTATTGATAAGCAAGTTGATGAAACAAGAATACAGGAGTCTCGTTTAAAATCATCATTTCGTAAGTTCAATAGTCGATAAAATGACCTTGTCAGCAAATACAATTTTTCATTGAGTCAAATGCTGACTTAAGTTTTTCATACTAATTTTTAGTGCATTATTTATACATTGAATTGACGACGGATGTTTCCGTTATTTCAAGATAATGACAAGGAGCACATCGCGGGAGTGACCGATCAGCAGGGGATGCTCACTGCTCACTGGCACCTGATCCCACTTCTGATATGTTTCGGAGGTCCATCTTTGCTTTGCTTCTTTTTTGTATTGTTTTATGGACTTTGATATTAAAAACTGTTCTCCATGAGTGAAAAACTCTTAAACGGGACGTAAAACAACATACAATCTAACAATTACGATTTTCTTGTATTAAAATGTGAAATGCTGACTGGCCTTTTTTCATTCTTATTGTACTCAGTAATTGAAGTATATTGTTCATAAAATTTTTGTTTATATTTCTAATAATCATTACAACAAACACGAACAAGAAGCAGTCTTTGCGAAAATTATACAAACACTTTACTTTGAATTAAAATTGATAATTATCTGTTTTTTTATTTATTGGATAGTAAAAAGAAGGTTTCCGTACAGAGGTATGATTATTTTTTCCTCAATAATTGAGATAAGTTCTTTACGAATTTTTTGTTTATATTTCCAATAATCATGAGAACAAAACCGAACAAGAAGTATCTATTTGATAAAATTAAACAAATATTTAAGTTTGAAATAAAATTGATAATATCTCTCTTGTTTTTCTTATCGGACAGGAAGACCTGTACTTATACCGCCACTAATTTTAGGTGGGTTAATTTTTTTTTCTCAGTAATTGTAATAAATTCTTTATGAATTTTTTGTTTATATTTCCAATAATCTTGACAGCAATACCGAACAAGAAGCATCTCTTTGAGACACTTATTCAATTTTTTTTCATGAATAAGATGAAAAGATGAAATTCCAACGACGTTATTATCGTGATGAAAGTGTTAAGCTGTTTTTGAAAGATGCACATTTTTAGATCAGGGCTGGGGTTCATTAAAAGTCTTTGTATACTCTTAATTTTATAAAATCAATTATGTTATATATTTAATTCATTAATTCCCTAAGTATATCCTAAATTTTATAGAAATACTCATTGTTCAATGCCCCTGAGCTCCGAATGAATTTGAAAGTCTTCAATGTTTTCTTGCGATGTCTCGCCATTCGTAAAAAATACTTAAACAGGACTTTAAACAACATACAATCTAACAATAATGATTAAATTTATATCAAAATGTCAAATGTTGACTGACATTTTTAATACTAATTGTTAACTAACAATTAGACCTGACACCATATCCAATATTTTGGAAGTCAATATTTTCTCTAGTCCTATTTTGTATTGTTTCATGGACTTTTGATCTAAAATACTCTTCGTTATTTCCATATGTTTCATTACACAATGAATCGTCAATCACGACAGGAAGCACACAACGGGTTTCACCTGTGAGCACAGATGTTCACCTTGTCACGACCATGATCCCACCTCTGGTGTTTTAGAGGCTTGTGTTTGCTCTGCTTCAAAATTTATATTGAAAAATGGACTTTTGAGCTTGAATACTGTCTGTTACCTTCATATATCACATCATCAACTTGCTTGTCATTACTTACCTTGTTTAAGAAATGTTTCATTTAGACGATTTAAATATGCAGCATTTTATGAAAACAGATATTCATATATTATTGTCTTAGTTTCAACCAAAATTGATAAATATCTGTTTTGTATTTTTTCTTATCGCAATGCTTGTACAACACATCGACGTAAAGTTAAGATTATTATTTTCTCTGGTAACTGATATTAATTCTTCAGGAATTTTTGTTCATCTTTCCAAAACTTATGACCAAAATAAAGAACAAATCGCATCTTTTTGAAAAAAATCATACAATTTAATTTTTTTGGTTTAAATTAAAATTGATCAATATACGTTTTGTTTTTCTCTCTCATCGAATAGGAGGCATATGGAACTCACGTGCAGGTAGGATTATAATTTCCTCAGTAATTAAAATAAATTCTTCACGAATTTTTAGATTATATTTCCAAAAATCATGACAATAATAAAGAACAAAAAGCATCCCTTTTTACCAATAGTTTAGTTAAAATGATAAATATCTCTTGTTTTTTTCCTTATCGGATAGAAAGAAGAGGGCCGGTAGATTCAGGTAGGATTTTCCTAAGTAATTGAAATAATTTCTTCGTGAATTTTTCTTTATATTTCTAATGACCATGACAACAAAAAATAACAGGTAGCATCTCTTTGAGAAACTCATACAATTTTTTTTTCATGATTAAGATGAAAATCCCACGAAGTTATCGTTGTGGTGAAAGTGTTAAGGTGTTTTTAAAAGATGCAGGTTTTTAGAAGGAAGTTACTTATATAATAGTACATGAATTATATATTCTTGAAATCCCACATCTTAACATCAATCTTTGTTTAGGTGAAAAAATTAAACAATATAGACATCAACTAAATAAAGTTGTCTGTTTTATTTTGATCTAAGATAATTTTAAGGACAGGTAAAACGAACGTGGGAATTCAAAAGACGGGTTCGATCAAGACTGAAAGTCTTAGTATACATATGTATAAATTCTTAATTTTATAAAATCAATTAAGTTACATAATACTTAAGGTAGGATTCTTCTCATGTATCTTGTACTAAAAAATTAATGAAAATTTCAAAGAATGAAGAAGTAAATATCACTAAGTGATGGTATAAGTGAGATTAATTTTGACCATTTTATATTAGAGAAAAGGTTACCGGTAGGTCAAAGTCATTACCTTTTCCCTGGAGATCAAGCGTAAAAAAAATTACTGTTACCAATCGTGCAACCCATTCTTACATTTCAAAAATTGGATGTTTTTTTTTCTTTTTCATCAAAACTACCATATAGGGCTAACAAGATGATATTAAAAACTGTCATTAATGATTTAACTAAAATGAATATCGGCTAATTTGCTAATAAACTCTGTATGCAGGCGTTAAAGGTATATAAGCTGCATAAGTAAGGGAAGTTGACGATAGAAAACTTAAAGTCGTCAAGTTTATCATATACTCATATACTCGTACAGGGTGTCCCATTATATATGATACCATTTTAATTTATTGTCAGAAACGCAGGTCTTGACCAATTATGTTGAAATCTTTCTTATTAAATATTTGAGTAAATACAATTTTTGGCATCAAAAGATTTCAGTTAAAAATGTTCACATAGTTGGAGCAATGTAGCCACATAATTACGTCAAAAAATTGCTAAAAATCGCATCTGAAGCAAAATTGATTTATCAAATAAGCTGGGTACCCTCATTTCTAAACTGTAATCATCAAATCCAGTCTTAAGATATTGTTACTAAACCTAAATCTAAATCTTTAATTTATCTAAAAAGGTAAATATCCAATGAAAATCTAGATAAAGAAAAACGCATTGTTGTCTTGGGTTATGGAATTTTGTGCAAGGTCTAGACTTGATCATTACCCAGATTGGATGTCAATTAGAGGACATTTGTTAAAAACTCATTCTTTCGTGTTCCTTTTATTGTCCATAAAATTTTATGAATAAAATTGGACAGTATATGCGATGTCATCGTCGGAAACCCACGGGAGCTCTCGTCTTTACTTATCACCCGTAGGCAAACACGCCGAAAAATCGTCGTATGTAATTAAATATGCATAGGTCATTTGATTGGCCGCATCACAGAGTCGCGATGCGAAACAACGAATCACAGTTCACGTTACGTATGCATGTTCGGCATTGCCAAAAACATGAAAAACTCATTCCGTAGTATCGGTAGTTAACGCAGCTGATAAATCCACTCACCGGTGCATTTTGCAGTTAGAAAGAGGTACTCCTTCATAATAGGTGACAGATATTAATGTCAGTAACCTGTACGAATTGACTTTCATTGTTTTAAATCAAACTTAGCACGTTTTAACGAGCGTCAAATATTTACCATAAACAGCAAAGTAATAAACGTATTTTTCAAAATTGAAGAGTTCCAACTTTCTGATTGGTTGTCTAAAAATAACAAATTAGCATATTTTACGGCGATATTCCAGCGAGTTTGCCCACGGGTGATAAGTAAAGACGAGATCACCCGTGGGTTTCCGACGATGATGCAATGTTTATAGTGCATTTGTTGTAATTCAGTATTCATTATTGTATTTTATTAATTCATGAAATGGTATCATATATTCTGGGACATCCTGTAGATTGGTTGTACCATTTTAATATCTTTTTCAAGTAAAATATCCAAATATGAAACAGATGTGTGAGACGATGTGGTCTCTTTTATCTCAATCTCAGCAGGATATATTGTATCGACATAAGAATGGATATCTAAATGTCGAGTTGAAGGCCACTGCATATTGAAGCAAAATATTACATGTCATTTTATTCAATGAAAATTTTCATTTAAATATCAAAATTAAGTTTCACAAGACATGCAATTTTTGTTGAAAACAGATATCCTAGCAAAACAATGGATTTTGCAATACATGATCTCTGGAAAAATAACAGTTCGTCATGCACGAGGGATTGTTGTTGGATGTGCTGGTGCTGGTAAAACAACACTCCTTTACAGACTAATGGGAAGAACTCCTCAGGAAATAGACGAAATAACGTCAACAAGAGGACTTCAAATCTACGAATATGTATTTACATTAAAAGATGGAACCCTAAGAGGTAATGATTTATTTATACCGATGGAGTTTATATCTTCAAATACATTATGTTTTATTGATTGCAAATCATTTTAGCTAAAAAAGAACACACTCAAAGCAAACAATTGATGTGTTCCAAAGTCCGCCGCTTTCAAGAAGAAAGAAGAAATATTTAGTCTAAATCAAGATGCAGATTTCCATTTAATGGATATTGAGGAGGATGCTGTCAATGTTCAAGAGTGTCGAGCAAATACTAAACCATTAGCAATAGATCTTAAAGACGTATTGGATGAAAGGGAAAACGAGACAAGTGTCAGCATGCTAGATTTTGCTGGACAATTTGCTTATTATGCATGCCATCAAATTTACATGAGGTCATAGGCTTTTTATACTCTAGTGTTGGATATGACTAAAGAATTTGAGGATGTCGTAAGCAGTGAAAAAGACGAGCGAAAGGGTTCTGTCTTTTCTACGTGGACTTACAAAGGTTTGTTTTTTACAATCTCATCGAATGTTTTTTTCTTTTTTTTTTAAATGTATATATTTAATTTCAATGTAATTTGTTCGATACAAAACGAGAGAAGAGAAAATAAGTACCCCCAAACGGGAAGAGTAAGCATCCCTTGTAGAACAGTCACACTTGCCTTGTGCTCCTTGTCATGATTGGGTAAAGGAAAAATCCTTAAAAACTTCAGGGTGTAAATAATGGCCTTTCAATTAGTATGACAAGCGTCAGTGTAACGTTGATGTTACATTGAAATGGTTGGTAAGGTTATTGTATCGACTATAAAACTTGCGAAATGACAACTTCAAGCGAGACTGTTCATATTCTTGTTTTTTGCCTCGTTGTGAAAAGTGTTCGTACAAAGAATATACCCTTGCGTATCGAATTAGCTGGGGGATATAAATTCCATATTTAAGTAACAACGGTTTTTGTTCTACTTCAAACCTCGTGTTTCACGAATGTTACGTCACAAGGAGATGACTTAATGGTGTTTGTTTATATAGTTTATTAACTGTAGATATTAAGAGGCATACTTTCTTGGGCGGAGTTTGAATGCGACCAGTGTATAAATCACACGGACTTTTCACGAATTATTATTTTAATGTAGTGCGGCTAGTAGTATCATTAACAACTGTTTCATAATGTTCTTATAAAATGCTTACTTTCTCCATTGGATCTTTTTTAGATTTCCTGCTTTGTAATTGATTCGGAATAATAAACAGTTTATTGCATGAATGTTTGGGAGACATAAAAAATCATAATCGCCTTGGACGTCAGCATCGGGAAGATGACAATGGGAAAGTTAAAGTCAGCACGTTTGTCAATAAGTCTTTTTATTATGATTGCCCTTGCCCGAATTAGGATCGATATGTAATGTTTTTTTCTCAGTAAACCTTCAAATCATTACCGAATATTCAAAATTTATTTGATGAAATGCATAAATAATTATCGTTTCCTGGAGGTCAGAAAAAGATTTGTATCATTTTTAGCCAGTCGGTCAGGAGAGGGCAACCAAATAATAGATGACCGTAACGTCCTCTTCTAGATTAAAAACATGTGGCAATCAAACCCGTCCAGAAATTTGAAATTTCTATAAAATGAACTGAAATGAAAGAAATTTTTTTTTATAGTATGATCTAGCTTTTTGAGATTGAGATTAGAATTTTGGAGAATTAATCCAAGCGCAAAATTGTGTGCACAATAAATGTACTGTTTTTCTTCAATGGGTGGCACTGTAGCTCTCTGTTCTTACACTAAATATGGCTACAAAATATTCCGTCTACCTGATCTACTCAGAGAACGGGTCATAGCAGGTGCGACTGGTCAACAAGAGATGCTTACTGTTTGAATTTCAATGGGTCTGTGTTGTACGCACTGGTCAAAGAATTGTAATATTGAATTTTGGAGACCAATCCTTGTTCATGATACTCGCCTTATTGGTTAGAATATGCTTTGAGGGCGTATTAATATTTAGTTCCCTTATATTTTTTTTAATAGACTATCTTCGATTATGGGTCAACTCCATCAAATCGTTCGGTGGTTCTGATGCAACTGTACTTCTTGTAGCTACACACGCAGAGGGTAAAACTAAGGATGTAAGTAATCAAATATTGTGTCTCTTTATTATTATTTGCCAATATAACTTTAGAAATTAAGCGAAATTGCTCTTTGAGGGCAAATCGCGAGTAAAATATAATTCACAAGTGGATGGTTGTTCAAGAGAATTTATATGCTTTTCAGTACCCAAAAAAATGAAAGCAAGTAATTTTATTTTGCGAATGATGCTTCTAAAGAACTTACGCAAAATGTTACTGATCGTGTATATTTAGGAATCTACGAGGGTTGTTAGGACATTTACTTTAACTCCATAAAGGGCAGAGATAGATTCATGAAAATTCGTAAACATGTTATTAAGAACAAATAAAACAATTATGCTAAATTTCTTATCCACAGGATAATTAGATAAGTTCTGGTGAAATATTAAACATGCATATGTCTATAAAACTGGAGCAGCATCGCTACGTCAAATTAACGTCACATCAGCCGGATTGTTTTCGCATTTGAAAAGATCGGGAAGCGTGCGTTTACTCTTCTCTGTTTGTAATCATTATAACATAACAGAAATCACCCTGTCTTTTGTCTTTTTCGATTCTTTTAAAAAATAAGTGCTGTTGCTACACCAATGTAAAATTTTATGGTGTCTTACCGGGTATATACATGATCCCTTAGCATCATGCAGTGCACATTTATGCAACACAGGTCAACGTAATTAATTCCATGATAATTTATAGTCGTCTTGAGCATTTGATTTTATTCAGGATGAATTATTTGTTAGAAACAAGATGTGTTTGTGAAACAGTCATGCCCCCGTATGGCAACATAGCAAAGATTAAAATTTTCTTGAACGCAAATTTAATATATTGGTACCAAAATTAGGGTATTCTCACTGGAAATACTGAAATATGAAAGTTAAAGTTTTTTGATAAGTACGGAAATCTTCAAGGTCATCGGTATCTAATGAAGGGTCTTGCCATAAAAAATACATATGTGAAGTATGGAAGCCCTTACCGTTCGTGTTGTGGCCAAGGTTTAACATTTTTTCAAAAAAGATCACACTTCAAATTCAAGGTCAAAGGTCTTGCTATCAAATGAAAGGTCTTGTCTCAAGAATTAAATATGTCAAGTATGAAAGCACTAGCCCTAGCCCTTTAAAAGTAATGGTCAAGGTTTGCTTTTTAAAAGTAGGTCAAATTCCAAGGTCAAGGTCAAAGGGTAAAAAATCATGATATCCAACGAAGGGTCTTCTCACAAGGATTACATAAGTGAAGTACGAGATCACTAGCCCTTAGGTTTGAAAAGTGATGACCAACGTTAAAGTTTTTTCATAAGTACGGAAATCTCCAAGGTCAAGGTCAAAAGGTAAAGGTTATTGGTATCAAATGAAAGGTCTTGTCACATAGAATACATATGTAAAGTATAGAAGCCCTGGCCCTTACCATTCAGAAGTTATGGCCAAGTTAAAAAAATTGAAAGTAGGTCAAACTTTGAGGTTCAAGGTCAAAGGGTTAAAAGTCTTGCTATTAAATGAAAGGTCTTGTCACAAAAATAAAAATGTGTAAAGTATGAAAGCACTAGTCATATCCCTTTAAAGTTATGGTCAAGGTTTGCTTTTTAAAAGTAAGTCAAACTCCAAGGTCAAGGCCAAAGGGTCAAAATTCTTGATATCAAATGAAGGGTATTTTCACTCAAGGTCAAGGTCAAAGAGTCAAACTTGTTGATATCTAATGAAGAGTTTCTCACAAGGATTACATACATTTATGTGAAGATTGGAAGCTTTAGTCATTCCGATCAAAAGTTATGACCAAGGTTAAAGTTTTTTCGTAAGTACGGAAATCTCCAAGGTCAAAAGGTCAAAATTGCTGCTTTCATATAAAAGATCTTGCCACAAAGAATTGATATTTGAAATATGAAATTTCTAGTATCCACCGTTTAAAAATTAGGCCCAAATTAACAGTTTAAATTTTTTTTGTAAAAATGGGTCAAACTCCAAGGAAAATGTCAAAGGGTCAAAATTTTCTATATCAAATAAAAGGACTTGTCACAAAAAATTAAATATGTGAAGTATGACAGCCCTTGTCCCAACACTTCAAAAATTATGGTCAAGGTTGTATTTCAAAAGTAGGTCAAACTCAAAGATCAAGGTCAAAGGGTCAAAGTTCTTGATACCCAATGAAGCGTCTTTTCACAAGAACTACATATGTGAAGTATGAATGCCCTAGTCCTTACCTTTCAAAAGTTATGGCCAAGGTTGAAGTTTCTTCATTGGTATAGAAAATCTCCAAAGTCAAGGTCAAAAGTTCAAGATCTTTGGTATCCAATGAAAGGGTTTTTAACAAAAAAAAATACATATGTAAAGTATAAATTTCCTGGTATCTGTTCAAAAGATATGGCCAAAGTAAAAGTTTGGAATTTTTGTGTAAAAGTGGGTTAAACTCCAAGGTCGAGGTCAAAAGACCAAATTTGGTTGTACCCAAATAAAGGTCTTGTCACAAAAAATACTCGTGTGAAATATGAAAGTCATAGCTCCACTAAATCAAACGTTATGGGCAAGGTTAAAGTTTTTGCGGACAAAAAAACAGACAGACAGACAGAGAGACAGACAATCAAAATGACGCTTTATTGGATACTAAGAGCTTTGACCCTTTGACCTTGACCTGCTTAAAAAAACCTTGACCATATCTTTTAGAGGGTTTGAGCTAGTGCTTTCATACTTTACATATTTAATTCCTGTGACAAGACCTTTCATTTGGTATCAAGACCTTTGACGTTGACTTTAGAGTTTTACCTACTTTTAACTTTTTAAAACCTTGGCCATAACTTTTGAACGGTTAGGGGTAGAGCTTCCATTCTTCACATATGTATTCTTTGTGAAAAGACCTTTCATTGGATACCATAACATTGACCTTGGAGATTTCCAGACTTATGAAAAAATATTAACTTTGGCAATAACTTTTTAACCTTTAGGGCTAGGGCTCCCATACTTCATAAATGTATTCTTTGTGGCAAGTCCTTTTATAAGATACCAATAACCTTGACCTTTTGACCTTGACCTTACAGATTCTCGGACTTATGAAAAAATATTAACCTTGGCAATAACTTTTCAAGAATAAGGGCTAGGGCTTTCGTACTTCACATTTGTAATTCTTGTGACAAGTCTTTTCATTCAATACCAATAACCTTGAACTTCTGCTGATCTTGCAGTTTAACCTACATCTAAAATATTTTAACCTCGGCCATAACTTTTGAATTGTTCGGGCTAGGGCTTCCATAATTCAAACATATGTTCTTTGTGGAAATAGTTCTTTGTGGAAATACCTGTCATTGGATTTGTAAATATTTCGAATAATCACTCGCATCTAGGCTACATTTTGTTTGTGTGCATCAGCAGGTCACTTTCTTAGGAGGATATTCTAGATAATTAGCTGTCATTGTTGAATAATTTATTATTCTCAACGATCAATATTAATTTTAATTATTATACCTTTACTGGATTCCTTAACTTCATGAAAATCCTTTAAACAAATATACAAAGCAGGTTCCAGTAAATGCTTTATCATGCCTCTTTCTTTCTTCCTCACTAAAATGTTAACAGTAGTGAAGGAGAACGTTAGGATTACTATTCAACAATATATTCAAGAGGTAATGTTAATCAGATTTGTTAAAGAAGATAGGTGAACAAGACGGGCAGAATGCCTATAGCGTCAGATATTAAGAAATCATATTAAATATGTGAATGGATTATTTAAATTAACTTCTAATTATTGAAATTTTTGAAATTATGAGGGAAAAAAACTTTTCTGAGAGAGAAAAAATATCGTAAAAAATTTCTTTCATAAAATTATTAGATGGTATTCGTGGATTATTCGAACCCTAGCAATAAAAATCCGACGTATCAACAGCATACTGCTTTGCGCCTAATGCGTTAACCACTATGCTACACCGCACATGGTAATTTTAGGCGTTTAAGTCATGTTTGTGATATGACCCGCAACTTAATGGACTTGAAGTATTTCTCGGAAAGATGCTAATGTTGTGTCATAAAATTGTACTTTTAAAGTATAGTGGGTTTTCGCTCCATGTTTTTGAAAACCAAAAAATGTGTATTTTATTGCACACTTTTAGGATCATCTTTCAAAAAAATGGAGAGAAGACCCACCCATATTGAAAAATTTTGTTTAAGTATGATGAAATGATCGTTTTTATTCTTTTTAGTGTGTGAAAGCATTTTCATAGGCAAATATTTTCAGCCTTTGTGAGACTTTTGTAAATTGTAGAGATTTTACATAAAGTATACTTTAATATTAGATGAAATATCAAGTAAAATTTGAAATCAATTGAGATTAAAATTTTCACTTCTTATCTGTCGCACTATAGGCATTCTTCCCGCCTTATTCAACCATCTTCTTTATAATCTTTTATAAATTTTGAAAAGTTTTGGAAATTTTGAAATCGTATTTTTCGTAAACCGAAATAAATAAAATAAAAACTTTTCAACTCTATATACAACTATTCCACAAAATAAATTTGTTTCCTTGCTTTTTGACATCATTGACATCATGCTGTCAAAAATAACAGCGAAAATAATACTCTTAATTTAATTTTGATAATTAAAAATTTTGCTATTATACCCCCGCTCTGAAAGAGACAGGGGTATACTGTCTTTCTGTGTATCCATGTGTCTGTCCGTAACAAATTTTCGTCGCAGTTTTTAAGCAACTACTTATCGGATATTTCTGAAATTTTAACGCATTCTTCTTTGGGGCATGCCATATGGTGGAATTCATTTTTAACTCACCTGAGCCAAAGCCTCTAGTGAGCTATTCTTATCAAAATTTGTCCGTTGTTTGTCGTCGTTGTTGTCTTTGTTATATTTCCATTTCCAATTGTTTTCCCTGTGATAAACAACACAAAAGTGAATCTTGTTTATTTCAACGTGATTCCTGCGGCATGTAAATTTCTGTGTAGATTGAAATACTACTGAAAGATCAAATGTCAAACTTGCATGTATATGATTGGCGTATAAATGCATTGAAAA